AAAAGGTGTGAATCCAAGAGACATGACCAGTCTAAAGGTCACAAGTACTTCTATAAATACCATCCCATCCAATCCCATGGCATTCATGTATAAGTTAAGGTTTGTTCTATGATTAATACGTTATGCCTAGTCGAGTATATAAGAGAGAGTGCATGTCATAAATTGGTTCGCTGTACAGAGAAAGTTGTGCAATTTCTGTATGGGATGATCCTTGTATCTTGGAGGTAGGACGCCCATTAATCGCAAGCACTAGATGCGAGGGCGAATTTTTGTCTTAAAGACACAGTATTCAAACATTGCTCTCGGTCACAATTTGTATTAAATTTATAGATTTCCATAAGAAATTTCTTATGTTTTATTTTATTATTTATTTGTATTAAATTGATTTTTCCGAAAATATTTTCCTACATTAAAAAATAGAGACAAATAGGTCTATCTATACACATTTAAGTTAAAAATTGGATATTTGACCAAATTAAAAGATAGGGACATATATTTGGGCATTATATGTGCACTATCTGTGTATTTTTGTTATCCCAATTGCATGCCTAGGAATGATGAAAATTTTGTGGTGGTTGTAACAAATGTCATTATAATCCAAACTAAAGCAACAGAAAAAAGCAACAAGTCATTACAGAACTAGAAATTTTTTTATACCATTGGAGTCATTAACGAAATTGAGCGATCAAAGAGCATTTGAAGGCTTTATATTCTTTTCAAAACCATTGTTTAAGACGAGAGAGATGTAATTGAATTTCATTGTTTTGGAAGTAGGTGAGGAACACTTATGGAAGAAGAAAGATGAAGCAAATTTTGGGGAGTTCCAATTGAGAAGGCATAAGGATTGGATATGAGAGGAGCCATCCTATATGTACAAGCTTGAATAAATAAATAAAAAAAGGCTTTATAGGTAGACTATCAAGATTTACTTCCAGAAGTTGTTCCCACCAGTGACCTTTTCAGCAACGTTGATATTGACTTGTTTGCAGGACAAGAGATATGGCAGTGTTGATGGCGGTGGTTGCTTCCGAAGGAAGACATTGATGTGGTGTCAATAGTGGTGGTAGTGATATAGGGGGCAAGGAAGCAAACGCGGGGATGGGGACAACAAAGTACAAATTGAGGGTTCAGATCTATGAATTGTATTTGTATGTCTGTATATAGTACACAAGAAACACACAATTTCATGTTTTGAATTTTTTTTTTTTTTGGGGGGGGGGGGGGGGGGGGGAGGACCAACAATGTTAGTTGCACAAAAATAGAACACACAAAAAATTAGTATGATTGAGATTTTTTTTCAAAGTATGCCTCACACTACTGTTAGAATGAATTTAAACCATCTATACATTTTCTATGTACTTCCTAGTGTCACATTTTTTTATTTTTTTTTGTGTATTTAGCATTATACAATGCTAATTTATGACATTTGTCTTTTTATATTTATTTTGTGTTAAAAAAAATTAAAATGCTATGCCTTTAACTATATAAGTATGTTTTTAATAAAATCAATAATATTAAATTCTTCTTTTCGATATCCTTAAAACAAGATTTATATTAAATATAAATTTAAAAAAAATAAAATTAAAATTCACTAGATTAACCTATTTTTCCCATTTTGAAATTAATTTTAGGCAAATCAAGGCCAAGACAAGTCTTGACAAGGCAGTTATGTATTTGATATCATAGATAATGTGGTTCAGCACAATAAAATAAGAACTTACTCAACATGTAGATGGAATTATATGGTTTTTCGATGTTGAATTTCATGATTTATGGATCCAAAAAAAAAATAGATTCAGAGCGAAAATAATCTCCTTTTTGTTTTTTTTTTTTTGTTTTTTTGTTTTCTGCTGTAAAATAAGTATGTGAAACCGCCTTGTGGCTATTGTAAGTGCATAGATTTCAAAAAAAAAAAAAAAAAAAACATAAGATAAAAAAATGTCCAAAATAGACAACTGAAAGCAAAATTATTGTTTGTTGAAGTTTCAACATCATATATATTGGACTCCATTTTTAATTAGATAAATTACACTTTGCTCCATTTATGTTTAGTCATTTTTTCACTTTGACCCTTCAAGTTAATTTTTTTCATATTTTAAATTTTTCTCAGTTTACTCCTAAAACTAACTTCTATTCAAAATTAGACAGAAAGTCCAACGTTAACTTCCACATAACATAAAAAATATAATATTATATTGGATTTGGATATGTGTTAAAGGTGTGAGTTATATAAACTATTTCCATGCCACATGATTGTCGATGTATCATTTTTTGTCTAATTTTGAACATAAGTTAACTTTTTAAGTAAGTTAGAAAAAACTTGAAATAAGAAGGACCAATGTGGGAAAAATTAAATTTTAAGGGTCAAAATGTAAAAATAACCAAACATAAAAAGTGCAAAATGTAATTTACATTGCAATTACACAAATAGTCCATGTAGTTTGCCTCGTGCGTCATTTTGGTCCCTGTCATATCAATTTGCTCAATTTTATCCCTTAATTTAACGAGGTGTGTCAAATTCGTCCAATTATTGACGCCCATTTGAAAAGATGGATGGAATGCCATCACATGTCCCTCACGTGCTCCCTCTAGCAATTACTGAGGGGCACGTTCGTCTTTTCACCACAAACCCTAGGTTGTACAGTTGTCCATATAGTTTGCCCCATTCCCAAATCAGCAAAACCATTCTCTCTACACAATCGATAGATTTCTAGGGTTTTGATTTACCAAAATCTTGGTTTGATTCTAAATCTCCTGAAGTTGGCATTGATAGAGAAGAAAACAATTGATCGGAGTGAGAAGACAAACATGGCGATTACGAGGATTGGTGATAAAATACCAGATTATAGTAAGCAATAAAATACTATGCCTTATTTTTTTCTTTATTTTATCGTTGTGAAAGTTGAATAAATGGGTGGGTCAAAGAATCTACTTTTGCTTTGTTTGAAAGTGACAAGGTGAATATATGTATATATATTCACGCATGTTGACACATCTGCATAAGTGCACACTAACAAACAAAAAAATAGGACTCTTTATTTATGTAGATATAATGTATTGTGGTTCCTACAACAAATTTGTTGTCTTCTATTGTAGATCCAGATGGTGATTATTTCATATCAAAATGCATCATGGTGGGGTTTTTACGTCTTTAGTAAATAAGGCTTACGTAGAGGGGAAATTATTATTTTGGGACAACTGTGATACTGACAAAATAAGGTTGACAGAGATAAGGGATATGGCTTAGAAATTAGGTTATACTGAATTCATTTCATACCATTATCAAGTGCCTGGAAAGGACTTAAATTGTGGATTAAGGCCACTTAGAAATGATAGTGATGTAATGGATATGGTAAAATGGATGCATACAAGTAAGATAATTGAAGTGTATGCAGAACACATCCCTGATGATCAGTTGTTTGAGGTTGAAGAGTTTGATCCCTTTCACCATGCATCAGTTGTCATTGAGGAAATTGGAAGTGGCACAAGTAATGTAGAGGTTAAGGGCTAGGTTGAAGTTAAAGTAGAAAGGCACAGTGATGCATCATCCAACTGTTCTATAGATCTAGAGGAGTTTGAGGATAGTGACTATGAATGATTTCAATGAGGATGACATACTTTTTAATGTTAATGTTGATAAGAATGTTGAATGGGGTGGATTAGGAAGGCAGAAGCCTAATAATCAAAGAGTTGAGGTACCTCATATTGATTGCCTAGAGCCTGATGTTACATTTGATGACCTCAAGAGCATTGATGGATCTTCTGATGAAGAGGATGTAAGCAATGGGGTTAGATACCTAGAGTTTAATCCAAATACAGACATGGCAGACCCATAATTCAAGGTTGGCATGGTTTTTGGCACTTCAAAAATATTCATAGTTGCTGTTAAGGAGCATGGTATGAAGACTGGGAAGGCTATTAAGTTAGTCAAAAATGATAGCATAAGGGTTAGGGCCACTTATAAGCCACCATGTTAATGGATGCTTTATGCATCCAAGATGCAAGGACAACTACCATTCCAAATAATGACATATGTCCCCACTCACAATTGTGGAAATTTTTTTTATAATAGACAAGTGAGTTCTACCTGGCTATCTAAGAAGTACTTGGAGACATTAAAGTCCAATCCATTTATTCCAGTGCAGTCATTCAAGCAAGCTGTGCAAAAGGATAACAAGATTGGGATATCAAGGAGCCAAGTGTATAGGACAAAGAGAAAAGCACAAGAATTGATAGAAGGAAGCCTGATGGAACAATATGCCAAGTTATGGGGCTATCGTGAGTAGATAAAAAGAACTAATCCAAGGACAACAATCATAGTGAAGGAAGGTGACGAGGACTCAGAAAATGAAGAACATGAAATAGATTAAGACAAGCCTAGGTTTCAAAGGATTTTTGTATGCTTTGGAGCTCGCAAGCAAGGTTTTCTAGCAAGATGTAGGCCATTCATTGGGATTGATGCCTATCATTTGAAAGGGCCATACAAGGGACAACTGTTGCAAGCTGTTGGTCTGGATGGGAATAACAATAACTACCTATTGGCCTTTACAATTGTTGAAAGAGAAACAAAGAGTTCATGGAAATGGTTCTTTGAAATATTGTGTGACACCCTTGGGTGGTTCAACAAGCAAAGAGTGACCTTCATGTCAGACAAACAAAAAGTAAATGTTTATTTCAAGTTTTATGTCTTTATTGAAACTTTTTAGTTCATTTAAACTTTGTAACTTTTTTTTTTGTTCCCCTTTAAATGTAGGGATTGTGTCCAACACCTGTAAAGGTTGCACCTATGGCAGAGCATAGGTTTTGCATCAGGTATCTTTACAACAATTTCATGGATAATTTCAATGGGGTGTACCTAAAGGACACTGTGTTCAAAGTTGCGAAGGCTTCTTATGTACAAACATTTGAGGCTCATATGGAAGAGTTGAAGGAAGTTGATGAAGATGCATTCAATTAGTTAGCTGAAAAAACCCCAAGCACATGATATTTTAGACAACAACATGGGTGAGAGCTTTAATAACTTGATCCTAGAAGCTAGAGGAAAAACCACACTCCCTTTGTTAGAGGACATTAGGTGTATCTTGATGAGAAGGCTGCAGGTGAGAAGTGAAGTAATGAGGGCTTACCTAGGACCTATTTGTCCTAATATACAACAAGTATTGGAGAAAAGGAAAGAAAATGAAAGCAATTGTATTGATATATGGGCAGGTAGTTTGAGGTACCAAATAAATTGGTTCAATGGGCAACAATTTGTAGTTGATTTGGCTGATTCAACTTGTTTATGTAGAAAGTGGGATCTAACTGGCATGTCATATGGTCATGCCATATCAGTCCTATATGACAAACATAAGCGACCTGAATATTATGTGGCTCATTGGTATAACAAGGAGACATACTTGGCTAGCTATAAGCCAATGATATACCCAATAAATGGTTCTGAAATGTGACCAAAGTCTATGTTGCTTGGATTATTGCCTCCAAAAGTGAAGAACAACTTGGTAGGCCAAGAAAGTTAAGAACAAGGCAAGTTGATGAGCCCAACAATCCTCATAAGTTGCAGAGACAAAACAGAACAACTATATGTAGCTTATGTGGTAAGCTTGGGCACAACAAAAGAGGTTGCAAAGGCCAACCAATTGCACAAAGGTTAGCCTAGACATAATTTGTTAAATCTTCATAAATTTAATTCATTTTATTAAAGGTCCTTCATGTAATTAATTACTAACCATTTGCAGGTGAGAAAGAATCAATCAAGCACCTAGAGAAACAGTCAGCCACCTACTCAACCCAGTAGTCAACCACGAAACAAAGCAACCACTGAATCCACTAGTCAACAAGGCCCTCAGCCAAGCAGTTTAGGAAGGCCTAAGGTAAGGCCTAAACATGGAGCAACCAGTTCAGCAAGGCCTAAGGTAAGTAGTCAACTACCACCCAAGAGCAACAAACTAGTCTCAGGTTTTGCAACTGGTAGTTAACCAAGCTTCAACTTCAGAGCAGCATTGCAAGGGGTGAACATCAGGGGACCTCCACCAGGGTTCATTAGAACAACCACAAATGTTGAACCAAACCCATCTAAAGGTCCATATTGTGGTTTAGCAACATATGTGTCAAAGGGACATAAGTTTGTGACCTTGTCTTCACTACCAAAACATGGAACAAATTCAAAAGGGAACCAGTAGTTAGCTAACACTTTAATAGTTGACAGTAGTACTTTTGTGGATTGTTATGTATTTTGTTTAATTTCAAACATTAGTGTTTTGGTGGATTTGAGCTTTATGTTTTGTTGGGATATGGTGTTAGGATTTGGCCAGGACATTTCAATGTTTTCTTGGATTTGGCCTTTGTATTTTGTTCGGACATGATAAATTGTTTGGCCTTTGTGTTATTTCAAGTTTTTGTATTGAAACATGTTTGGACCATTTTTTTTTTTGGTAGCAACTATGTCTGCCCATGTTTGCCAATATGTCTTGTTATAGGTTGCACCATGTTTGCCAAAATGTGTGCCAAAAGTGAAACAAAACTTTATGCACCATGTTTGCAACAATGTTTGCCAAAAGTGAAACAAAATAATGCCAATAAAACATTATAAAACAAAACAATCACTCAAATCAACTACAAATTAACCATTATAAAATAAAACCATAATATATATCACTAGTGTGATTAAACAAAACATTGATACAGCTTCAATAACAAAAATCCTAACATTCCAGCTTGTATCTCCATGCAATCCTAACATTCACATAATTAACCCCAAATACATAGCACTGGACTTAACAAAATAAAATCCTAAACTCCATTCCTCGTCCAGAAGCTTCAATAACAAACAAACAAAAAAAAATTTAAATAATAATAATAATAATAATTAAAAAAAATAATCCTACTCCATTTCTAGTCCACAAGCTTCAATTTCCATCATTGTCAGTGCGTGAAAGAGAAGTAGTTGCAGAACCATCTCTTATCATGTTCCAACACAAAAAAGGAGCAACGACAATGCCATAAAAGTAATTAGCTTCCTTTATCTTACTCTATGCATCTCCAATTTCTCTTTAAGCATGGTGGTTCTTCGAAGCAACCTAAGTATGATCTCTCGAGCACGATGACACAATGGAGGGTCAACCTAGAGAAAAAATCCACATGCATGTCTGCTCTGCAATTTTTTTTCATAAACACCTTGGTTGGATTTATAAACAATATAACAAAAGGACATACCAATCTTTTTTCATATACACTTACACCATATTGAGGACATCTCCAAAACCTTCGTCCAGGGTTGTTCTCCATCCAAGAAGTCTTCAACTGAGCTTCCATTCTATATCGGCATAGTATACAGTCCATCGTCTTCCTTCATCTTCCATAAATGTTGGTGTCTGTATGTATATAATGGAGATAGAGATAACAGGTATGGCTTTGGCGGGAGTCACCTTGTAATGCCCTCAAAATAATACATAATCCTAACACCCAACAGTTCTATATACATGATGGATAGATCATATATCCATACATACATCAGAGTTAATATTATAAAAGGGTATTTCATATAAGTTACAAATGTTTACAAAAATAATAGAATGCCCTACGGGCTTACATCTTTCCAAGTTGTTACTCGATTATACAAAAGAAGAGTTCTAACTCTTTTACAAGTAAAGCCCTCAGCTTGCATTTACATAAAATCAATAAAACAAATAACAAAACCGAGTCTTCAATTCCGAAAACCTCCTAAGCAAAGATCTTGAATTTGGTACGTGTCCGGTACTTGAAAATAGTGTCCCAAGCGGGGTGAGCCAAGGCCCAGTAGAGATATACTAAACCCAATATGAGAAATAACAAAAACATTATCATTTGACGAGTGATTAACACGTGTAAACCAATTCACACCCTTCACATAGCCCAACAACGATTACATCTATGTTTCCATCCACCTCCCTTATTTATCTAATTCAATTCCTAGATATGGTTCATTATCTAACCCAAACAATTTAAGTGAGACTACAACTCGACTTATGAACACCTCTGTTTCCCACAATTCAAAATGAGACTATATCTTACGTAGTTACTACTTCAATTGACAATTTCATTCCTGCACTTCAATTATAAGGTTTCGGGACTTTTACCCCAGACACTCCGGCCAGCTTATTTATCTATGGAGTACATCCTTCATCTCCTCCCAAATAAATATACATATACAATGTGTTAAAGTATATAAACACATATGGAGTATATCCCCTATCTTCTCCCAAACAAAGATACATAAACAATGTGTTAAAGTGTATAAACACATATGGAGTACATCCCCTATCTCCTTCCAAACAGAGATACATAAACAATGTGTTAAAGTATATGAACACATATGTGTGTGGAGTACATCCCCTATCTCCTCCTACACATTGGAATACATCCCCTATCGCCTCCCTAACAAATATACATATATAATGTATTCAAGCACTTCATCACATACAATGATCAATTAATACACATATTTGCTGTATTATTTCAACTGTCATATTCAAGGACACAACACGTTCGATTAGTTTCAGTTTTCCCTAATCAACATACAGTGTCTACAACAGTCAAGACTATCCTTCACCGATAGCCCAAAGCAGTTATCTCTAAACAGATAATAAATTTATCAACAGATAAAATATTGACATTTTCATAGGTGAGTAATTAAATTGTCCAACTACACCATTTACTTCCACAATTTCCCAATTTCATTATCCTCAAACCAATTTCTCATTTCCCCAAATTAATTATTCAATGTAATTAGGGCATTTTCCCTTTATTCACAAGATTGCCCCCAAGGCTCATATTTCACTCATAATTCATAAACAACTCCCAATTTCAAGTCTTTAACACATGTTTGACTCACACATGAAGAACCCCTCTTTTATAAATTACAAATCAAACCCTAACTTTTCCAAAATTACCAAACAACACCACCTAATCAAAATGACTAAAATTTATGTCAAAACTCATAAGATGGAGTAGGGTATCCCTACCTCGAAGTTAGAAGCTCAAAGGAGTAGATCAAGAAAACCCAAAGTGCTCCAAATCCACTATTTTTCAGATTAAAGTGAAGCCCATGCCAACCTCTATCTTTCTTACAAAGAGATTAGGGTAGAAACACTCTAGGAGTAGATGAAATCTTAGAGAGACAGTGTATGTAGAGAGAGAGAGAGGCAACAACCGTTCTAGGGTTTGAACAAAAGAGATCAAGAAAAGAGAAGAAGAAGAAGAAGAAGAAGAAGAAGAAGCTGCTGTGAACTGATATATTCGAGCCTCGCTCAAGCGAAGAAGTGGTCGCGAGCGACCAGGCACAAAGAAAACTCGCTCGAGCCAACAACACGAAGCTTCAGGTCTGCAACCCAGAAGCACGCTCGAGCGAAGGAAAGCTCGCTCGAGCGAAGAAACCCAAAACATAGTCCTCGCTCGCTCGAGCCAAGAAATGCAACTCTCAGGTCCAGAACCAAACGCAGACGCACGCTCGAGTAAAGGAACCTTGGCTCGAGCGAAGGAGCTAAAACACAAAGCTCGCTCGAGCAACAAAAGCCTCACTCAAGCGAAGACACCAAAATCTGGGTAGCAACCATTTGTTTCTAATCACAACCAACCTGTTACAAACCTGCCCAACACATCCTAAAACTCAAATATATGGAATTAAAGGTGAACACAAGATATATGCAACAACTAACACCACGAAACCTAAGTCCAGAATACAACAACCAAATGGGGAAAATCGGGATTGCTATAACCTCCCCCCTTTAAAAGAATTTCGTCCCCGAAATTAGCTATAAGTTTCAAAATTGTGATCTTTCAATTTTCAACAATACTATAATTCAATATTCAACAACCTGACTCATTATCGGTCGCCCCATCTCTATTCAAGAGGCAATTTACAATATAATTTAGGGTGCACTAACAATATGCTTTTCTTTGAAATCCAACAAATTCCAATACCATACTCCACCATTTCATAACATATTCAATGTTAAAGATATATTTTCATTGTTATAGTACATTCAACATATACAATGCTAAATTAACTTTCATTTTCAAGGCATAACTCAAAATACTTCCATAAACCGAAACATATACAATATTTTGCAACTTAAGACATATTCAATGTTCTTAAAGTTTATCAATACAAGCAAATATTCAACATATACTCAAATACCTACCAATAGATCCAGGTACTTCCCTCGGACCTCTAATTCACTCTCCCAAGTGACTTCCTCAACCCCATTATGTTTCCACATCACCTTAATTAATGGAAAAGTCCAGCGTCGCAAGACTCGATAACAATAATAACAGTATGACACATTCAATCACTACGGTGTTCTGAGACATCCGTCACGTCTCGACTACCAACAATACTCAAACCAGTATTCAGTACTTAATACCCCAACATAGGAAACACGAAAACATTCGTACACAAGGTTTCCAGTTA